AAAATGTTGATGTGCTTGATGGATTCTCACATTGTAATAGATGTTTTTCATCTACGGGTACTTAGGAAATGATATTCAGGGATTTTTTTAAACAAAGGAACAGGGGCGCAGCGCCCTCCTGCCATGGCCATGCGCCCCCTTACCCTGGGCAGCAGATCCTCTGGCAACCATAAAATTCTGATTGACCAGGGATCACATGTGGCCACAGTCTTCAACTGTGACCTGTCTGATAGTAATTTTGGCCCCAAGGAAGCCATAGAAAACTCCATTTTAACTTACCCCAGACCATTCGTCCCGGTGTTATCGCTATTGCCAAACGAGACTCCAGCTTGTCTCCTATACAATTTTCCTTCCGCCCACTTAATTTTAATATTCATATGACCTTTGCACTGACATCGATAGCCAATCGCGTTCGACCGCGGACGTCACTCTAAATAAACAACTGAATAAATTAATATACCATATTTGGAAGATAGCGGGTAAATTCAACTTGCGTTGTTGGTGTGTTCCTTCGGGTTCCGAAGTCGCACGAAACGAGTTCATGTTCCGTTATCTTTCGCAAGTAAAACAGGTCGATATGTATTAAACATGGCATTTGTTTTCTTGTTTTAACCCCCTTATTACGCAAGCTTCCGTCGAAGTGGTGTTTTTTTCGACGATTTGTGGCATGTTGCAAAACGAACGAAACATTGCGGCATTCTTAGCGGTGGATAAGGGATCTACTATGTCGTCACATTTATGTCTCGTTTGAAAGAGAATAAACAACCGCTCAGAAAAATATGTTGCTAATATTTAAGTGCGGTGCCTTGAAATCGCCTGCCCGACGTCCAAATTTCAAAAGGATGTTCGATTTGCAAAGACGACCGTTCATATGTACTAGGCGACGTTACTAATTACTACTAGGGTCGGTGTTTGCATTAAGAATTATAGAACAAAAGATCAGCAAAGCGGTGCTTTTGTCGGCGATTTTGTCAAAGGGAATATTGATAAAATGTTGCAAAACAGAATCGCGAGTTGGGTGAAAAATTGCGCCGGCGGCATTCTCAGCGATGGCGACACCCGAGAAACACCGTGTCACGGTGCATTCGTGCATCAGTACACCGAAGAAATACATACATATTGTTGCGGACGACTATTGTAGACTGTGTTCGTGTAGTCTTCGAGTTTGTGGACAGTTAAAGTCGTGTGTGAATTTATTCAAGCCAGGAAAAGCAGGAGGGATAACTTATGGAAATCGTCTTTCCAAGTTGATCCAGTGCGACGTTGTGAAAGGAGCGACTCTGTCGTCTCATCTATGTCTAGTTTGTAAGAGAAAGATTGATAGCGCAGAAAAATCCGCCAATAATGTAAAACAGTGGCGTGAAATTGTCAGTCATTCTAATATCTCCCAACCTGTGAACGAAAGGGTTAAGCGTGCTGCCTTGAAATCGCCTGCCCGATAACGTTCAAGTTCAAAACGACGTTCCATAACTTTCTCACATTCAATTTGCAATGATGACCGCAGTTCAAATGTACTTAGCGACGTGACGGACATTAACAATCATGATGTTGAAAAGGAGTTTGATGAAAATATGCCATTTCCAATTAGAAATCATTTTGATTTGATTTATGGATGGCGAGCACCGACACTCCGATCCGATGAACTAATCAAAACTAAAATGGCGCGTGTCACGTGACTTTGTTTACTAAAGATAGCGTGGGCGTTTGATTGACACTCAACTCATTAGTATTCCACCAATCACCAATCTACTTTCTGGATGTGCGCAGTCAAATTGTATAGGAGACAAGCTGGAGTCTCGTGTGGCGATAGCGATAACACCGGGACGAATGGTCTGGGGTATAGTTTTCCGCGGTTTTCGAACAAAATAACCGACAGCGAAACCAAGCGAGCTACAGAACTGCAGCTAGGGCACCGTCCGATCTCGATGGAATGTTTCGAATCAGTCATACGTAGTTTAAATTAAGTTAAAAGTTTCCTCCACAGAATTGTGCATTTGGTAACATGCCGTCACAACTGCAGTACTCTACTGACGGAATGACTTCGTCGACAGCGGTCGTTGATGAGCTGCACGCTACAACTTCACATGTGATGTTGCTTGTTAGCCGTGGATTGAATGAATCTTGATTCCCGGTAAAAATGTCACTCATTTGGCGTTGGTAATCTTTATTAGAAACTGGGTAACGCCGCAACGTCGCCAGCAGGAACCTCTTGGTACTTTGATGTTGATGGTCTATAATAAAGCTCATTCAACATACTTCAAGTTTTCTCAATCGTAGTATTCCATGTTAGTGGGGATTTCAGTCACTTGGTTAATGACATCGGAAGAAGTGGGTGTGGGCAGCTACCCTTTCAGAAACTACAAAATACGTAAGCAAAACTAAAAGCAAAAAAAAAAAAATTACCATGAATTCTAGCTCTATATCTTATGGTCATTTTCTGAAAAATGCAACCCATTGCGAGTAGCCGTTT